CCCTCAAATTAAAATCCTGCTCTTAACAGAGTGAAACTTTTTAAAATGCACCTGATTTAGGAAGAAATATGTGCATGCTATAGACTTAAAATATACAATTATTAAATACATCACCGGCCATCCTGGAAATCTCTTAGTGGTGGAAAGCTGAGTCCCTGCCATTTCCCCTCAGCTGCTAACAAATGGGATGCGCCCAAAGCACTAACTGTATCCAGCTGCTGGAATGTCTCTTCTAATTTTACATTTAAAATTTTCTAAGGCTGCTCTTGTTTATGCTGGTGGCTGAACTGATCCCTGGCAGGCCTCACAAGAAAGCTGATATACATGTGGTGGAAAGCCACCTTTGCTTCCTAGCTCAGGTTCAGTGCCAGTGGTAGCTTGGATGGCTTGAAGCTCCCTTTTTTCCCTCTGCACAGAACTCCTAAAGCATACTGGCCCATAGGTATCTATGAAAGAGCTGCAGAGAAGAGAACATGGTTAAAAGCTCAGAGAAGCAGCTGCTTCTTCAGATCCCATGGTCCTAAAACAGCGTGTGCCCTACTTAGACAGAACCAGGGCGGAGATAAAGGACGTGTCTTTTCTAGGCCATTCTAATACTTTTCTTCTGCTTCTTTGACAAGGAACGAAATAGAGAACAATGGAATGATTAGATAGGAAGTAAAAGAAACAACATATTCACATTTCTAAAACATGTAATTATTTGGTGTCAGCTCAGGATCCAGGGAAAGTTTCAGAGAAATAGTTATTTTAGAAAAAAAAAAAGTTTGCATCAATCTACTATGATCAGTGTAGGTTCAAAACATATTCATAATATACTCGATAAATTCAAAATCAGCAAACTTAGAGGAATAGAAAGAACTAGCCCAAATCTTAATTACTTGGTTCTTAATAGTTTTTTTTACTGACTACTCTATTGGTACCTTTGTATTATTCACTGAGGGTCTGATTCATATATATACTAAAGGTACATTTACATTTCAGTCGCTACACTAACCACTGCTTGCGAAGACATACTTGTGTTAGTTTTAAAATATCAATGTAATCTTGGTAGTGGATAATTTACCACAGGCTAGATAACTGAGTATTTAGTGAGCGTTGCAGATTGTACTAAGCTCTTTGCTGCTATGGCTACAGTTGTAGCCACACACAAATTAGGTAGGGACATGTGAGCTGCAGCTATGATAGTATGAAGAGACTTCTGAGGAGGAACAAATTTAATTTTATTCATTTTAAGGCCCCTTTATGCTTTCAGAGTTATGGTAATATGGCCTTAATATAAATTAGAATCACAACCTTTGTTTTAACTTCTCCAACCTTGGCATGAAAAAAAAATCCATGCACTTTATAGTATATAGTCAATATGTTGCTTGGTGTTTTTCAAGAACTCATCATATGTCCTTAGCAGTCTGTGTTGTATGTAGATAAATTGATAACAGTTAATCTCAACATGACAACTTTAGACCATAAAAGAGGGAATGTGCTAACAGAAATTATCTTTAAATAAAAGATACTCAGAAAAAATATACATTTCTCATCTTTACAAAGCCACATCTAAGCATCCTTGAATGCATTCTGATACTTGTTTTGTTATTTTATCTATCATATTTATATATGGTTATACAGTAGCACCAGATGAAAGTACTAAATACAAAGTACAGTAGAGACTTTAAAATCTCTGTTAATTACATGCCGTGAAAGTTCCATCTTTCCAAGAAAATCAATTTCCAACTTCCAAAACCTTGCTTTTTCCCACCTTCAAAGTTCTCAAGCAAACAAAAACAAAAATCCTGAAATATCATATATTGTTTTTGAATAATGTTTTCTACAATTTATAAGACAGACAATCCATTTAAATAGAAAAAGATTTGTTTTACATAAAGCAAGAGAGAATACAAAAGCACAGCTTTTGTAATTTTGGTAATATTGCAGTTTTACAAACATATTGCATAGTATGTGTAAGAAAATAGTTCATCTTTTTATATATCTATGTACATAAGAAGAGCATTAAGATGAAAGTTACAAAACAAAAAATGGTTAGGAGATCTTTACCAAAGTACTTTTAAAAATAATATGACACTCAAACTCTTATCCAATTTGCATCTGCATGACAGTGAATCAGCTGATAACACTTTGATAGTCTAAGTTTGGCTTTTATTTTAGTAACATTTAGACAATGACTTAGAAACTCTATGAGAAAAAAAATCACAGGTTATTAACAGCTGAGCATCCTTAACATCCTTCATCAGCTTCTTTCAGTCCCTATGGCTCTTATCTTCGATTCGTGCTTAATAGCCCTCTGTTTCTAAATTAGTCTAAAGTGAATTGTGTTATCTAGTTAAACCACTGTGCAGGCAACACAATATAAACTTCAATTTAGGCAAGCAATTTTTTTGGCCCATTTTGGGCTGTACACTCTTCCCTCTTTACATGATCTCATGCACAACAGAAATACCTTATTATGCATGATTAGCAACATAATTGGATGATGCTGACAACACCTTCCCCTATGAAAAGATAACTGAACAACCTACAGCTCAAAATGCTGCACAGATCAAAAGCATATTACTATTTCATGTTGTAATTACAACTTTTTTTATCTTATTATCCCAACAAAATTAGTAGAAGCAGCAGTGTCATAGTGTGAGATATAATAGAAGTGTCAGTCTTTGGTCTTTAACACTTAACCAATTAATGAACTGTAGTACAAAACCATATAGGTAATAGTGCTCAAAGAGGTTGTTTGATGTTTTTATTTTAATTTTTTGAACAAGAAAGAGACAGTATCCTTTTATATTATAACAGGGATATTTTACAGCATATATGACTATCAAAGATATTAAATACATGTGGCTAATAAGGTCTTTTTATATTTTACTGTTGTCATATGGGCAATTCTGAAGAGGTCAAACAACTATCAAACCATTTTAGTAGTGCCCAAACTGACATGCTAATACAAAAAGAGGCATTATTTGATACATGTATTTATGTTTTATAAAGCACCTCAGAGGATTATTTTTAGTCACAAATTTTATTTTTCGAATTGGACATTTACTAACATGAAAGAAAAAATGTTCAAAAATTTGCTTTAGGGACCTCCATCCTACTCTGTCACCATACAATGACTTGTTAATTGGGAAGCTTTTGCCTTAGCCATAACAAGAAGTGACATCTCTTTTCTAAAGAGAGATAGCAGAATGTTCAGGCAGCCAAGCAATCTAACTGGGGAAACATTTGCAGGTGCTTTATCGTAAGAAGAATGCTAGATAGTGTAAATAGTCCAAAAGAGATTTAAGCAACTAAGGTTCAGGGTGAGGCAGCAGAGACGGGCAGAAAGGACAACTGATAAATATCCTTCAGTGTTGAATAGGGGACCTCTTTTATTTTACACCTCAGCTTCATAACACCACACCTAAAACCCATGCCCATGGCTCAGCTTCATAAAACCAGCCCTAAAAGAGTAACGATTTCACTCCCTGTTTAAATATGATCTGAGTCCTGAGAGCTGCCATTTGCCTCCCAAATGAAACAACATCTGTAGGTGGGTACGACTTTTCATACATTTTTTGTACTGTTATGAACAGAACAACTGGGACATTGTGAGAAAGAATCATTCATCTGTTTTGAAACGTCTACATTTTGTTTGTCTTAGCAGCCCTTCTTGCTTGTTTTTGCATTTCTCATGTGCACATGAGTGTTTAGCTACCGTCAACTTCAAACATTCAAAAATCATTAATCGGGCTCCCATGAAATCATTATATTGGCTTATGAATAGTGACTTTTTTCTTGTAATCTGCCTTCTTCTTTTAGCCTAATGGAGTGCTCTAGTCACACATGCAAGTTTTCTTTGCAATCTCACAGATTACAGATGTACTTTAAAAAAATTTAAATGGGGCATCTCACATATTTGAATTGTTACCAGGAGTTTGAGCTTAAATTAAAGAATACCACGGTGAGAGTTGGAAACACTGAGCTTTCTTCACAAAACTCTCTTCTTTTTGTTTGTGTTTTGATGTAACAAAATTCAATTTAGGCAGAAGTAAAGGAACTCATAAAGGATGGATCATTCAGCCAGGAATCTTCATATGTGCTTCAGGTGACTATTACAGCTCATATAGCAAATGAATAGACTCACAGCATGATATACTTGCAACACTGTACACCACTCCTTAGGTTTAAATTCACTCATTTGCATATAACTTCATCGTAACATTCTGGATGGTAAAGAAGACTCTGAGTCTGCGTACAGACAGTTTGGGAACAGGCTGAAGATTTATCTTCACTGAATAAATTACTCATTGCATATTATTTGTCCATCTTCTAAATTACCAGCAGATAAGCATAGGTAATTGAATACATGATATTGTGCAGCCATCCACTCCCTTTAAATATAATTTGTCTACATAAACATTGTATTACCTGTGAGCACAAGTGAAAGATATTTCTTTCCTTAGAAGGCTCTTTGAATATTAACTGTATAACCAAAATCCCTAAACTCTCTTTTCATATTTCTTTATACTCTGCATTGTAATGAAGGGGCCTGTTCAAAAAAAAGAAGAGAAGGAAAATAAAGGCTAGTGTTTGATATATTTTTCTCCTATTAAATAAAGGAACTAAAATTTCCAAAATGAAGTTTAAATCAGTTTTAACTGGCTTAACACCCATCTTTTGAGTGCTTCAAGAGTCTATTTTAAATTTTTTGTTCAGAAGCAGGAGATATAATTCTTCCCACAGAATGAACTTCAAGCCTCTGAAGAGGGACAACAAAAGTTCAAACACCAGTTAAATGGTGTAATCCCTTTTGTTGGTCTTCTGCATGGGTGAAGATCACCTGGAGAAAACAAAATAAATTCTGTGAAATGAGAATAAAGTAGAAAATTAGCCATATTGTTATGGTTGCTCATTTTCTTGCTTTCCCTTTTTTGGTAAACTGCATATTGGACACAAGTACCTACCTTGTAATGCTTTCCCTGCCTTTTGAACCACTTTAGAATGCTACAGTAGGGTCAAAATGTGTCCTCCTTTTTCTTAGACCTGAGAAGGGGCACTTGATGCCCAAAAGCTTGTCCAATAGCTCTCCCAGCTGTGTATTTAGCCCAATAAAAGATATCACAAAAAAGTCCTTATGTTCAGAAGCTGCTAATACTATGAGTTGGATGGGAGAGTTCAAAACATATTAAAACACACACTTACCTTATTGTAATCAAGTCATCTTCACAATAGGGAATATTTTTATATGTTTTACATTCCTGGGTTCTGCAAGTTTCAAGATACTCTTGTTAAAAAAGTGTTATGACAAATTTATCAGCAGCATACCATACTGTCATTTACTGGAGTCCAATTACCAAGAAAAAGCAAAGCAGGTAATGAAATATGATAAAGAAATCCCATATCAGGCAAATAGTAGGTAAATATTGACAGATGAGTGAAAATACGGCTGCATTATTTAAACACGGACCTGAAGGTGTCAACATAATATCAATGTACCTATTAATATTCTATTTCATTTAATATATGGCCGTGTATTTTTAATGATATCACTTTGAAAACTTTAATAAAACACAGTAAACAAAAAGGATAATAAATGTAGTTAGTGTACTGCTTGTTGATGTTATGCATTACATTAGTACTGATGTGTTTGCACTGTGTTCAAATGGCAGCAGTTAGACATGGCTATAAAGGAGACAAGATGTACCTTCAAAGATATTCTTTTCTTTTCTTTTTTGCCAACCATAAATTACCTTGTGAAAAGTAACAATTTTATCAGCCATTTCCATATCATTCCATTTCCCTCTTTATCTTGTTCAATCCATAAGCTGTATGTTTTATTTAAAGCAATCACTTCACATGCAGTAGCCAAGAAATTACTGCGTAAGGCCATTCAGATTTGATAAACAAGAGCAGATGTCTTTTTCACTCTGGAAAGGTAATATTGCTCAGCGCTTCCAAAATTTACCTAATGTACAAAACCCTAGATTAATAGACAAAGAGTAACAACACACTATTTTAAAGAAACAAAACTCAGGGAGGGATTCTGTCTCTTTTTTTGTTAAAAACCAAGTACTGAATTTAATTGTTTAGTAAAGCAAGCATCACACAATGCTTCAAAATTTTAAAATTCAGGGATAAAAGTTTACATCCAAAAAGATGAATGGAAAATTGTGCTTTCAGACAGTAAAGTTATTTATCATACAGGGATTACCAATTCATCTCACCATTGGATTCTGGGCAAATTTGTATATGTACCGTATATATATGTGCAGTTCATAACCAGGTCCTGCAAAAATCTAAAACTATGTGCTTCACTTCATGTAGCAAAGGCACCTGTGTTATTCTCCCTTTTGGACAAAAGGTGGTTTTATGATCCAGGTTTCCTGATGAAGACTACATTTATTTCTGAATATCTCACTCCCATCTCTACATTGAGTGGTGACGTGAGCCACAAGAGAAGGCAGCATTGTATTCCTGCTTATGCTGGAAGAAGTTGCTCTGCAGGCCATTTGAAGCTTCTGACTTGTCACAAGGGAAACCGGGCAGAATTGTGAAGCAGAGGGACAGTAACAAAGGCTATTCTGGTGTGAGGAAAAATTGGAGTCAGTTCAGCTCCACAAGCAGATGTTGCTACTGGATTGACACGTGGAGCCTGCTCCTGCCGGGGACAAGTAAAGTTTACCACTGGGACAGACGCAGACTTCGTAGATAGTCTGTCGAGGAGCTGAAGAGCTAGGTGAGGAAGATGAAAAGGAACCCATGGGTAGATTTCCCAGTCGGATTGTATCTGCATTTAAAAATATCTATGGGGAGAAGAAAGGAACAAGATAATTTAATGTCTTTCTGGATCCCAATATAATTAAAAAAATGTATTCTGATGCATAACCACATAACCATTTGACTTTATGAAGAGCTAAGGTTTTTTTGTGGTTCTCCTGTGATGTGCTGTTGAATACACAGTATATGCAAATACCTCTTAATATCTCTCCCAAGATTATCATTTAGCCATTTGTAGGAATCATACAATAACATTGCTATAATGTTTCCTGACCAGGCTGAATTCTCAAATGTATCTTTTATAATAAAAAATAATTCATTCCATGCAGAAGCATCTCCCAACCTTGAACAAATGATACTTTAATAAGTGTGAAGTGGCTTTAAAGAGCATTCTACAGCATGTTTCTTTACATGGTAAAATGTATTGTTGAAATGTGCTAAATTAAATAAGCTTAACAATAGCTATATGCAGATAATAATATAATAAGGGTATAAGTTCACATACACAGGATAGGATAAATCACTTATTAGACATGATATATGGGAAAGGCTTTAGTTTAAAGTCTTATTTAGAGGGGCATCAAATCATTCCTGTTTGATTTTTTAATATTACAGGTGAGTTAAAAGACTTTAAAAAATGTACTTTCACCCATTAGAAATATTTGAAGTTGCCCATCCTGGAAAGGCTAATGTGATCACACATTTATCTGACCACATTTCTATAATTTTTATAAAGAACTTCCCCCACTTGCCAAATTGCTCAGGATGCTGATTAGGTACCACCACTATAACAAACATCGTCAATGGAGATGAATAAAATAGGGGTAAGTTATAAGGAAAAATGCCTCTGAACAAAAGAGGTTTTCATGGTTTTGGGGTTTTTTTTAATTAAAGAGAGATGACTGAGGGAGATATTTTCGGTAATCAAGTTCCATGCAGATGGTCAACCACAGCTGAAGCAAAATTGACCACTGCCCTTAAATGCAGCATTGAAAACTAAAAAGTCTGACAGCATTTCCAGTGCCAATGTAAGCCCCAAAGAGAGCAATATATGACATCTATAAGGAGTGGAAGTTCTGAAACACCACATAAATTACTGAAAGTCAACATTTTCATTTTAACATCAATCTACAACATGATAGGTAAAAATTAGGCCTGCATGAAGCTTCGGTAGCCGATTTGATTATGAGAAGATTCAACCTGATTTGGGGGCCGAATCTCCAAATCTGAATAGAATTGGGAGACTCATTAAAGGTCTGAATTGAATCAAAAGCCTCCAAATCAATTTGGAGAGATTTGGAAATTCAGAAGGCTTGCAGCAAACAGAAATGGAGAAGAGAGAGGGGGATAGGGTGATCATCTATATATGGAAAAGACTCGGAGGGAGGTGGGGGGGGAAGACTGCTCTGATATTGACATCTATAGCTGGCCAGTGACTGTGATCTATAGCTGGCCATTCTATCTAGCCTGCGGGCTCCTAAAAATGTTAGAAAATTAATATTTATCTGCCCTTGGTTCCTATAAAAAATGACAGGAACCCAGGGCAGTAAGATCCAGGAGAAGCCCAGCAAGCTCCCACAACAGCAGGGCCCGCCCGGCCCTGCCCCCTCAGCTGGAAGCCGCAGCTGGGGCTTCTGGCCTGGTACCACACGGCTGACTTGGCACTGGAACCTCAGGTAAGGGGGAAGTGGGTGTGAAGGGCAAGTGAGGACACTGGGAAGGGAAGGAGCCCAGAGAAAAGTGGCCCAGGGAAAAGCTGAGTATGGAGGGGTGGGGGGCGGGAAACAGCCCTGTTCCTGCCCCATGCCTAATGCCCCACACTGCAGCCACTCACAGCCCACGTGGGGCTGCCTGCTCCAGACAGCCCCATGTGGGCTGCGAGTGGCTGCACCAGGGAGTGCCAAACACAGGGCAAGCTAGGGGCCGTTTTTCCCACCCTGTGCTTAGCTTTTCCCCAGGCTCCTTCCCTGATCCTTCCTGGCACATAGGAAGGTGGCCCCTCCCCTGCCCTGTGGCTGGTGCTCCCTGCTGCAGCCACTTGCAACCCATGTGGGGCTGTCTAGAGCAGGCACAGGCAGCCCCACGTGGGCTGAGAGTGGCTGCAGCGTGGGACATCAGGCAGGAGGTGGGCAAGGGGCCACTTACCCCCCACACCGCACTCAGCACCAGCTTGTAACCTGGCTCCACTGCCAGCCTGGGCCCCATGCCAGCTCCAGGCTTGCTCATCAGGGCTGCGCTGCGGCAGCAGCTGTGGCCCCCCTGCTTGCTGTGCCTGGCAGTGTTTGCCACTGCTGCCTGTGTGAGAGCTCTGGGTGGACAGCAGCAGCTGCTGCTGCTGTGCACAGCTCCAACGGGTGAGCTCAGAGCTGGCACAGAGCCCAGGCTGGCAGCGGGGCCAGGTTACAAGCTGGTGCTGAGCGCAGGGAAAAGTGGCCCCTCACTCACCCCATGGCTGGTGCCCCGCATTGTAGCTACTTGCAGCCTGTGTGAGGCTGCCTGTGCCTGCTCCAGACAGCCCTGCATGGGCTGCAAGCACCTGCAGCAGGGCGTGCCAGCCACGGGGTAGGCAAGGGGCTACTTTTCCCCATGCTCAGCACCAGCTTCTTCCCTGCCAGTGAGCAGGGGGTCAGGGCTGTGGGCTGCCCCCAGCCTGTACTGAAGGGCTGGGGGGGCACTGGGAGTGAACAGGTGCAGGAGACAATGGGAGCACAGGGCCCGCACTGGTGTTCCAGGGCCAGTGCCATTGGGCCCAGAGCAGGGTGGCAGGAGCGTGGGGTCCCAGCCAGCAGGGGCTCTATGGAGCCGAGCCAGATCCCCTCTCTCCCCGCTGGTGTAGCCTAGCTCAACTCCACAGACGCCTGCCAGCCTGTGCCCTGCTTTGGGCCCTACCAGTGCTGGCCCTGGGGACCTTGGTTCCAAGACATTGGGATATTAGTCCCAAGATGGTGACCAGGGGATGGGGCACCTGTCAAGGGATGGGACTACTCATGCAGCCCTCAACAGCCTGCCAAAACTAGGTAAGTGGCTCTCCGCCCAAAATAATTGCCTGCCCCTGTAATAGATGTACGAGAAGGATGCTACAAGAAAATGTTTGAATGATCCTTTCTGCTTCATGATTAAAAGGAAGATGGACATCAAAGGACTCACTAGTCAGTCTAGACAATGGGTAGGTAAGGCATAATGTGAAGTGTTTGATGTTTCTGAAATACTGATAACCCAATGGGGTAGACGGAAGTATGGTTTCGATGGTCTCAGACTCATGAAAAGGGAAACCAATATTTTTAGAAGGGAAGCTAGTTCAGACTAGTAAAGAGGTATGTAATAACAAAATGCAAATATAGAAAAGAAATCAGAATACTTATTTAAAACAAAACTAAGATGTTGAGAAACAGAATAATCAAGATATAATAGGAGGTGGAGAGAAGTATTTCATGAATTGCATCAATGCTGGTAATGAACAATTAATGAACATAAGAACTAAAATTTCTGATATCTGAGAATAATTTGACCTACCTATTATTATTTATACCTGTTGGGGAGCAAATTTGAATGTTCAAGTCAATAGTTATTGCCCATGTGAAAAGGGTCATGTGGGGATGGGCAAAAGGTCAAAACTGGCAGTACCTGTTCCCCTTTCACAGTCAATGTAGAAATAGATTGATTTATGCATGCTCATGGATGAGCATTCAAAGATGTAAACCTTAAAATAAGGTACTACGTGTCTGCTAAAGACTACCAAACTACGCCAGAGAAAAGAATAATGGTTTTTTAAAGCAAAGGCTAGGGAAAAAACACTGTGTTGGCATGACAATTAAATCTAAATGAATTATTCCAAAGATCTCATGCAGGCACAATTCTCAGAATTTATAGTTTTATCAGTGATGTTTTCCTAATTTAAAACACATTGCATCCAACATGGGGAGAATTCTATATTTCTGACTGAAAAAGGGAAATGAATCACAGAACTAAAAACTAGAAGTTACTGAAAGTGGGAGTAATCATGTGTTATCCATTAACAGAATACAACCTAACCCAACAATAAATATTTTAGGTCCTTCAAAAGGCCAATTTTATAAAAAAAAGGAAATAATTCTGATCCATATGGGATGGGAGAAATAATTTAGGATAGTTTGAGTTCTGACTGGGAACTGCTTAGATGCCAGAAAACTATAACTGAGAAAGAATGTTACACTTGCAAAAAAAATTATCTCTGCAAAAAGCAACAGATAAAACAGCTATAATAACTATAAGAACAAGAAAGAAAAATATAATAAAATAACTAATGGGAGTAGGGGAAGTTAATAGTACTGAATATAAAATAAAAGTTAGAAATTTCAGAATATAGGAAGCAAAAGTACATAAGTTACTATCAATGCCCAGCACTGTCGAGGGACCAGCAGGAAGAATATTTTAAGGGGCCTACTACTCATGCAGGTAAACGTGTGATTGGATCTAATGCATGATCCACACCATCATAACTCCTGCCATGTCACACAGGCATGGCAGGAGGCATTACTGTAGGATCAAATAATAGATCCAATTGCACCTTATTGCTGGTGGAAAAGCAGGTACCCATGGGTGGGAGTGTTGAGAGGGCTCCCAGCTGTGGGGACCTTATGCAGCCGTTGCCAAGAAACCCCACAACTGACAGGGATATTGGCCCCGGCTCTGCCTCACACGCAGCCAGGACTGAGAGTCTTGCAACTGACAGGGCTCCCAGCCCCGACTGAACTTCACATGCAGTCCCTCAACTGATGAGGCTCCTGTTCCTGGCTGTGTCTCATGAGAGCCCTGAGACCTCTCAGTCTTGGCTGCACATGAGGTGTATTTGGGGCTAGGAGCCCCAACAATTGCTGGGCTCTCGTTCCCAGCTACATGTGAGCAGCAGTCAGGACCATAAGCCCCATTAGTTGTGGGGCTCTCAGTCTCAGCCGCATGTGAAGGACAGTTGGGACTAGGAGGCCTGTTAGTTGCAGGTCTCTCGGTCCTGGCTGTGCATGAGGTGCCATCAGAACAGAGAGCCCTA